CCCTGACTCCCCCCACAAGAGTCACCCACCCTCGGTGAGCCGGGCTTTGCCCCCTGTGGGTTGGCAGAGCACCGTGGAACAGCCCACGCAGAGCACCACGGTCTGAGCGTGGCTGAACACGGTGGTGATCTTATAACAGCCTGGGGGGGAAGGGAAAAAAAAAACCGGGAGTTATAGAGAGTTAGGGAATACCGGGAGCATCGAGGGAGCAGGACACGGGACAGCAGAAGGGACACGGAGGAGGACAGCGGGACACGAGGGGAGACGCGTGGGGGGACGCGGAGGGACCCCCGAGAGGGACGCGGAGGGTCCCCAGGAGGGACACGGAGGGACCCCGGGGCACAGCGGGGACACGGAGAGGGGTCCCAGGACACCGGGAGGGACAGAGACAGGGAAGGACAGGTCATAGGACAGGGAAGGACACGGAGGGATGCTCGGGGCACACAGGGGGGGACACGTGGAGAGGGACGGGCCGGGACAGCGGGGGAGGCTCCTGGGACACGGGGGAGAAACGGGAAAATACACCAGGGCACCGGGAGAGATACGGAGGGACAGCGAGGAGAACACCGGGACACATGAGAGGGGAGGGACGCGAGGAAGGACCCCGCAGGGTCCGCGGTGCCCACCGGGGCACTTGACGTCCATGAAGTAGGAGTTGGGGCTCTGCACCAGCCGCTTCTTCTTGTGCTTGCGCTTCTCCTCCTCGGGGGACGGGTGCAGCAGGTCCTTGGCGAGCTGCGGGGACACGGTGGGGGCAGGACCTCGCTCAGTCCGGCGCGTCCACCCCCCCCCCGGCCCTTCAGGCCGCCATCTTGGCGCCCCCCCCTTCACCCCCCGGCCCGCTCGCCCCGCTTCCCCCCGGCCCCGCCGCCCGCCCCAGACGCTTCCCCACAGCCTCCCGCTCCCGGGGGCCGCGGCGGGCGCGGCCCCGCGTTGGCGGCGAACGCGAGAGAACGCGGCGGGCGCGGGCCGCACTCACAGGCATGGCGGCGTCGCCGTGAGAGGCCGGAAAGGGACGGGCCCAGCCCCTCGTCGCCATTTCCGCTGCGGGGCGGTCTCAGGGGCGGAAGCGCCGCCATCTTGGGATGGGGTTGTGGTTTTTATCACCACATTGGGGAGGTCGTTTATAACACCACCCTTTGGGCCGGCCGTTAATGTTTCCATCACCTCTGCAAGGTCCTTTCCTTTGCCGCCATTAGCAGCGGTCGTTTAAATCGCCAGGATTCGGGAAGTCGCGGCGTTCTGGGGATGGTCGCTTGGGGGTTTACGCCATTTTGAGAAGGTCGTTGCGTTGCCGCCATCTTGGGAAGGCTGAGGCGGCGACGCCATGTTGGGTGGGTCGTTTGTGTCGCCGCCATCTTGGGAAGGTCGCATCGGTTTCGTGACGTCACGCGATCCCGCTGTGACATCACTGCCCCAGTGACGTCACGGGGAGGGCCGGGCCCAACCAAGCCCCGCCCGGGGGGGGCCGGGCCGGTCCCGGTGGCGGCGGGCGGCGGCGGGGGCCATGGCCAAGGCCTACGACCACCTCTTCAAGCTGCTGCTGATCGGGGACAGCGGCGTGGGCAAGACCTGCCTCGTCATCCGCTTCGCCGAGAACGACTTCAGCAGCACCTACATCTCCACCATCGGTCAGTGCCGACCCCCGGCGGGACCCCCCCGAGTGGGACCCACCGGAATTTACCGGGACCCCCCCCCCCCACCCCCCCCCGGGCCCCCCCCGCGGGCCCCCCCCCCCCCCTCTGGGATCCACCGGGACCTCCCATCCCGGGACCCCCCGGGACCCCCCGACTGGGATCCCCCGACTTGGATCCACAACCCTGGGACACCCCCCCGGGACTCCCC